GAGGAGGAGGAGGAGGAGGGGGAGGAGGAAAGGGCAGAGCAGAGGGCGAGTGGAGGGTGCCTGCCAGGGCGAGGAGGAACTGGCTAAGGGCAAGCTGAGCATATTCTCATGCGGGGTCCTTCCGTCGGAGTAAGTCCTATGGCTTGTGTGTTCCAAATGTTTGGAGTCCTCGCATTTTCGGACCCAGAAAGGCTCCAGGCGGCCCAAGTTGCCCCGACGATCGTCTTAAGACGGCCCAAGATGCCCCAGAATGGCCCGAAACAGTCCAAGAGGGCCCCCCAGACGGCCCACGAGGACTTTCAGACTGCCCAGCAGTGCCCGAAAACGGCCCCACGAGAGCATCAAGATGGCCCCAAAAGTCTCCCAAGAAAGGGGGCCCGAAGAGGCGTTGTGGGGACTGGGTTGCCTGGGTGTGGGGCGTGGGCTGGCCCCAAAACGGTCCAAGAGTCCCAAAACGTTCCCACAGGGCCCCCAACAGACCCCCACGAAACCCCAGACACACCAAGGAACACCATGGCTCCGCACAGCGAGCGGTGACGTAACAAGCCATGCACACCAAGGCTCCCCAGAGCGTGGTGACGTAAAGAGCTCTGAACAGCAAGACTCCCAAGAGCGAGCGGCAACGTAAAACTCGCTGAGCACCAGGGCTCCCGACAGAGAGCGATGACTCAAGAAGCCCTTCACGCAAAGGCTCCCAAGAGCGAAGGGTGCCATACGCCATCTCGGGCAAGTTCCTGCAGCGCTCTTTCCGTTCCCGTGCCGGCCCAGGCTCGGCTGGCTTTCGGTCCATCCCGCCGCCGTGGTTGGGTTGCTTGCTTTTGCTGCTGCCTTCTCCCCTCATCTCTCCCTGCCTCCTGCCGCTCCCCTCCCCTTCATTAGGCCGCACGGCGACCCTCTCGAGCTGCTTTAAAAATGTCATAGGCCTTCAGCCTGTTTGTTGGGATGTCATGGGAGGCCTCTCGCGGGCCTCGGGGGCTTTTGAAGCCGCCTGGGTGCCGTTTCGGAGGCTCTTGGGGCGTTTTCGGAGCCTTTTGGCGGTTTCTCGGGGCCTCCCGTGGGCCTGTTAAGGCCTCCTTTGGGCCTCCTGGGGGCCTCTTGGGATTGAAGGCTCGAATTTTAAGTTCGGGTTCCCCCTGTTGGACCTCTTCTTGGGGTTGTCTTTGGGCTCTCTCGGGCCGTCTTGGGCGCCTCTGGGGCCGTTTTGGAGCCATCTTGGGCCGTGTTGGTGTCCTCCTGGGGGCCTCGTGGGCCGTCTTGGGGCGGTCCTTGGAGCCTTGTGGGCCGGCTGGGAGCGTCGGGAGCTCGAAAAGTCGAGGACCCCGAAATTATTGAAGAACCAGTGGCAAATCAATGATTGTTGCAACTCTGTGCCCTCTTGGGAAGGCTTTTGGGGCGCCTCGGAGGTCTCTTGGGCCGTCCCGGGACCATCTCGGGCGTCATTTTCAGCGACTTCTGGGCGTCGCGGAGCCTGCCTCGACCTTCCTGGGTGCCTCTTGGGGCCCTCCCGGCCCGTCGCGGGGCCCTCTTGGTTCTGTTGCATCTTCGGGGGACCTCGCCTGTCCCAAAAATTGGTGTCTTTTTGGGGGGCCCGACGCGTGCTCGATGCGGACTCGACGCGGATTTGGTGTGGATTCGACGCGGGTTCGACACGGATTATTCGACAAGGATCCGACGCGTCCGACGTGGATTCGACACGGATTCGACGCGGACAGGGCCGCGACGGGACAGACAAGGCCCCCCGAGGATGCAACATTTTTCTTGGGTCCGGGCAGGTCATGCGACAACATGTCCCGGAGCCCTCCGGGGCACGCGCGCAGGCAGCGGTAGATTTGAGAGCTTTGGGGTCGGGGCAGCTCAGAGATCGGGGGCGGCACCGAGGGGGGTGGTGGCTCCTCCTCCTCCTCTTCCCCCTCCTCCTCCTCCTCCTCCTCCTCCTCCTCCTCCCCCTCCTCCTCCTCCTCCTCCTCCTCCTTCCCTCCTCCTCCTCCTCCTCCTCCTCCTCCTTCCCCTCCTCCTCCTTCTCCTCCTCCTCCTCCTCCTTCCCCTCCTCCTCCTCCTCCTCCTCCTCCTTCCCCCCTCCTCCTCCTCCTCCTCCTCCTCCTCCTCCTCCTCCTCCTCCTCCTCCTCCTCCTCCTCCTCCCTCCTCCTCCTCCTCCTCCTCCTCCTCCTCCTCCACCTCCTCCGCTCGACGCCCCCCCCCCCCATCCCCCGAGCTGGTCCACCCCTAGCCCTGAGATCCAGAGTCGGGAAGCAAAGAGGGGGGCGATGACTAGGGGGGGTGGATATCATGACGGGAGCCATGATATTTCCCCAGATTTTATGGCGCCTCTTCTTATTTCATTACGTCCCTGGCCCCCCCGCTGGGCCGCGCGCGTGCCGCCAGTCATAGTTTGCACCCCCCACTCTTGGACCCCCCCCTCTTGGCCGCTCCCGAAAAGACGTCCTCCGGAGTGAGGACTGAGGCTTAGGCAATTCGGCGAAGGGTTTGAGGACACGCCCATCGGCACGGTGGCAGGTAGTTGCAAGAGCTTCGCGGATGGTGGGCAGGCCGTTTTCAAAATGCGATTATAGCCCTTCCGTCGCGCACATTCGTTGTTATGCTATAGGTGTATATCATCATCAGCAGCAGCAGCAGCAGCAGCATCATCATCATCATCAGTTTCATGGATGCACGGCGGCTCCTTTTCAAAATGTGGCTCCCGCCAGAGCGCCGCGCGCACTCGCCTTGAACAAACGCAAGAGCTTCACGGAGGGAGGGCGGCTCCGATTCAAATTCTAGTTCTCGTTTTAGCGTTGCGCACTCACGTATTAAACATGTGAAGGAGCTTGACGGGTGAAGAGGATTCCTTTTCAACATGTGGTTCTCGCTTTGACTCCACGCGCAGTCGTCTTAGGAGTTTACAGCAGCTTCAATGCTTAATATGGTTGATTGGTGTTTTGGAGCGATGTCGGGTGCCAGGGCGCAACAGTTACGTTGATTCGCGGTGTTGAAGTCCCAGAAGTGGCCGCCTGGCGCGATTCAGGACCGTCAAGACGCAACAGTGAAGTCCCAGGCATGGTGCCCTGTCACGGTTCAGGATGTTCAAACAGTTGTCTTCCAACGGGGCATGTCCCTCAGTGGAAATGAATCCTTGTAGGGGTCTATGAGGAGAGAGCTGGGAGGGAGGGTTCATTGCAACATCGTCGATGAGTCTTGACTTTGCACTGGTCCTCCTCCTCACTCACCTCCTCCTCCTCCTAATCCTCCTCTCCCTCCTCCTCGCCCTCCTCCTCCTCCTCCTTCTCCTCCTCCTCCTCCGCCTTCAGGGGCAACGGTACGGGGGACTGGCTCAAGGGGGGGGGGGGGTCAGACGTTTCCTCTCGAGGCCTCTTTGGCCGTGTTGGGCCCCAACAGTTGGGGGGTTCTTGAGGCTTCCTGGGGCCTCCTGGGGGCTTCTTGTCATGGAAGGCTTGGATCTTCGATTCGCGCTCCCCTGTTTGGGCATTTCTTGGGGCTGTATTTGGGCCGTCTGGGGCCGTCTGCGGTGCCTCTGGGGCCGTCTTGGAGCTCTGCTCTCTTGGGGCGTGTTGGCGCCCTCCTGGTGGCCTCGTCGGCCGTCTCGGTGCGGTCTTGGGGGCCTCCTGGGCCGCCTTTGAGCGTCGGAAGTTTATAAAGCCGAGGGCCCCCAATGCATTGAAACTTTTGCGAAGGCTCTCTTGGGGTGCCTCGAAGGGCTCTCCGCCAGTCTCGGGGCCATCTTGGGCCCTTGGGGCCGTCTGGGCGTCCTCTCGGGCTCTCTGGGCCCGTCTTGGGGCCCTCTTCGGGCAGAAATCGGGGGCGGCCACTACGGGGGTGATGATTAGGGGGGGTCATGGCGTGGGCCAATGATTTCATGGCGCCTCTTCTTGCTTCATTGCAACCCTGCCCCCCCCCCCCTGGGCCGCGCAAATGCCGCCGGCCATGATTTGCCCCTTCCCTCTTGGACGCTCCCCTCGTGGCCGCCCCCCGAAAAAAGCCACGCGAGAAGATGCTCGGGGCCTCAAAGGCCACGCGGAGAATCCTCGGGATTGAGGACTGAGGCTCCTGGGGATCCGTGGAGTGACCTGTGGGTACTCCGACTCGTGCTTCAAGAGCGCGGTGGCTGATAGTTTCGCGTGTGCCAGCCTCACCAAAAAAAAGCGAATGCTGATGACATCGCTCTTGCCCACAATGGCGATTTCGTTAGGGACACCTTCACACAACGGAAATGCTGTCGACGTCTCTTTGGTTTCAGTCTTGCCCCAAGGTGCGGTTTCGCCGGGGGCAGTCTCACACGAATAAGATGGTGTCGACACCGCTCTTGCCCAGTATGGCGGGCTCACTAGGGACCTTCTGACAACACTGATATGTTATCGACGTCGTCTTGGTCACGGTCTCGGGTTCAATCGACCAGGCGGATTCGAACGGCCAGGCGTTTTCACAATTGGCTAAGCGATTTTAGCCGGCCAGGCGACTCAAAACGGCCAGGCGGGTTAAAACAGCCAGGCGGGCTAGAACCGCCAAGGATGTCAGCGCGGCCAGGCGGGTTCAAATGGTCATGCCGATGAAAGCAGTTACGCGGTCTAAATGGACATGTGCTTTAAAGCTGGCATCCGGGTCAAAACGGCCAGGCGGGTTGAAACGCCCAGGCTGGTTGAAATGGCTTGGCGGGTTGACATGGCCAGCTGGGTTAACATTGCCTGGCGGGCACAAACGGCCAGCTGGGTTGAACCTCCAGGCGGATTGAAACACGCGGAATAGAACATCCTGGCGGATTAAAACGGCCAGGCGGTTTAAAACGGCCAGGCGTGTTCCAACGGCCAGGCGGGTTGAAACGGCCAGACGGGTTTTAATGGCCATGTCGATGAAAGCAGCTACGCGGTCTAAATGGCCATGCGGTTTGAAGCGGGCATTCGGCGTTCGGACTAAGACGGCTCAAGAGGGCCCAGAGACAGCCCGAGAGTCTCTCAAGTCAGCCCAAGAGGGGTCCTCCGTATCCATCTTGGCGCAAGGCATTCGAAGCAGCCAACAACGCGTAGTTTCTGTCATCCATGGCACTGCATCTGGGTCAGACCTGTTCGCAGGAGGGCCTCAGAAGGTATACAGTCGCAGTCGGAGTGTACCTAACATGTTGCATGCTTGGCGTTCTGCTCCTCTCATGCTGGAGCCAGCTTGCCGATGCCTGCAAGACATTATTCGCCATGCTATCCGCGGTTGCACTCTTCGCTGGTCTTTGGAGCGCGGATGCGGGCAATGCAGACACCAGCCTTCCGTCATCCAACGCGGCGACGGGCACAGGTCATGATGGGCAAATTCTCCACCACCACAACCATAGGTAGGGCGGGGGAGAAACGAGGATGGGGAGGTCCTCCCCCTCCCCCTCCTTCTCCTCCTCCTCCTCCTCCTCCTCCTCCTCCCCCTCCTCCCTCTCCTGCCTGTGGTAGTGGTGGTGGAAGAAATCGGCCCCTCCGGTCGGACCCGCGAAGACGGCCGCCGAGGCGAGCCGCACGCTGCGCAGGCGTGCGTGGCCGCCGGTCGTGCACCTGCGCCTCGCTGCGACAGGCCCCGGGCTTCTCTCTGCACGAGCGAAAGGGGGGGATTGGGGAAGGGGGGGTTACGAAATTTGCTGCATGCAGCTGGTTTCTTCCTCGTCGAGGGGCCCATTTCTCGGTACATGGCCGCCTCCGGCGCCAGGAGGCGCCGGGAAAATCAGCTACGTGAGCTGATTCTCAACCCCCTCGTTGCTATCCCCCCCTTTCGCCCGATCCGATCTCTGCACGAGCGAAATGGGCACGGAAAGAATGGGTCCAATGCCCAACAGCGGATCTGGTTCATTTTGAACAGGACTTGTTGTCCGCGCCGCCGCGGCCTGTGTCCATTCGAGACAGAAGGCCGCCTGCCCAACAGCGGCCGCTGTTGGTCTGGGACAACATTTGTTGTTGGGCAGTGTACCCATCCTTTTCGTACCCATTTCGGGCGTCCAAATTCTCGGAGGAGGATCAAGCAGTGGCGAAGCGTCCCAGCTCGCTTATAGCCCTACCAAACCATGCTCTAAGGACTTTTTGTGGTTCCCACGAGAGGTTCTCGGAACATTTCTGGCTGGGAGCGTCCTGTTTTAACACGTCGCGCGAATGTTCTAAGAACATCGTTTTGTTAAATGAGCATTTTTGGGTTCTACGAACATTTCGTGATAGAACTATAGGAATGCCGGGACGGTCGGTCCCTGTTCAAGGGTACGGCAGGTTCGCGTCGTGTCGACCGGCGGCGACCCCGCCAGCGGCGTTCAACGTTGAACGCGGCAGGCGACCCAGAATCGACCCAAGAGGACCCCATGATCGCCCAAGAGCCTTCACAGTTTTTGGAAATGACCGATCGTTCAAGGTTGAACGATCCCCGCGGTGTCAGCAACTACCGCCGAAGTCGACTCGACACGAGCCTGACGTACCAATAAGTCGGGCATGTCCCTCTACAGACGGAAAATTTAACAGCACCAGAAAAAATAGTCAGTAGATGATTGTTCGATTCTTTTGTGGCATGTTTGAATATATTCTGGCAATTGTGATTTGTTCCTCCGAAATCCGCCTGTAGGAGGACATGCCCGACCTAACGCTACCCCTCCTTCGTTTTCGCCGTCTCGGGCCTCCTCGGAGGCCCTCGTTGCCACCGCTGGATTCGCCTCGAAATGCTGGTCAGAACTCGCCCCAGGAGAGGTCCTGGGAGTAGCGGTACAGTGGAGGCCCCTGCCAAGAAACACTCTGCGTGCTTCCAGGGTGCCCTGGGTTTCTTGGGTTTCGATGGTTTTGCCATGGAAGTAGTGGCGTTCCCACACCAAAAATCCATGGACGTCACTGGGGTCGCAGGTATGGGTTTCTGGTGGAAGGTTTCTCGTGGTCGGGCCCCTACTGTAGCGGTATAGGTGCCTTTTTGGTTTCCCCAGGGTTGAACGCGACCACGCGACGCACAGGTCTCTTCTCCTCGAGGCGGAGCAGCAGTCTGAGGCCGATGTGCGTGTCCTTGAGCGGGTACACTGGGAGGGCGTGGAGCAGAATGTTCACACATGTTCTAGGTCAGAGGAGGAGAAGGCATACCTCTACCCTTTCCTCGTTTTCCCCTTGTTGGGCCTCCTCGGAGGCCCTCGTCGCCACCGCTGGATTCGCCAGAACGCACCCTGGGAGAGGTCCGGGGAGTAGCAGTATCAGTACCTCTTGGTTTCCCCACTAGGGTGATGCTCTCGTGCAGCCGGATCAACGATGCGGACATGGCTTTGAGGTTGTTAAACCAACTGTTGGAGAGGGGTGTGGATTACGATTGCGATGTGATACCCGTCAACACCCGCAGAATGTTTTTCTCGCTCGTGGCTGGGCACGTCGACGACAGGTATTTGCGGAAGAACGGATTCAAGATGCTTGAGGTGGTTCAGGCCCACGGCATCACGCCGCCGCACATCCTCCAAAGCCGCTTGATCTGTGCGTGGGGCTCCAAGCTTCCGGAGAAGCTCTTGGACTATTTCGCGAGGATGCAGAAGAACGGCATCACGCTCAGCTCGATGGTGCAGCGCTGCATCGCGCAGATGGACCCGCCCGTGCACACGGATCGGACCCCCCCCCCGACGACGCTGTGCTGCGGTGCGCCGAGAGAGCCAGGGAGCACACCTGAGCCAGAGAGCACACTGGTACCGCACCGCTCCCGCGCATCTGCACTCCCGCTCCTGCCCCCGCCGCCGCCTCCCGAAGAGCCGGCGAGGACGCCGGGGGTGCCGGCGCAGGCCATGCCCAGCGGTTGTCGCAGCGGGGCCTCCAGGTTCATCCAGACAGGCCCAGCCGGCAGTGCCAGCCCGCGCCGCAGCTGGTACGGCGACCCTGCCCCAGAAGACTGGAGCACGCAGATCGGCTGGTACGGCGGACCTCCAGACGAGACGAGCACGCACGTCGGCTGGGACGGTGCCTCCGTGGATGAGCTGTCGTACAATCGCCAGGTGCAGATGGGGATGCAGGGGGAGCCTAGCACCACGGCGATGGTGCACAACGTACCCAGCCGAGTCTTGCGCGACGATGTGCTAGACAAGTTAGATGAGATGGGTTTCACGGGATGCTATGATTTTGTATACGTACCTGTCGACTTCCGTACAGGGAGTAACAGGGGGTACGCATTTGTGAATTTCATCAATGAGGAAGATACGTGGCGCTTCATGCACGTCTTCCACGGGCTCCACCACTGGCAATGTAAGTATCTGAAGGTATGCACGGTCAGCTTGTCCCGAGTGCGGGGCCTCGCTGCCAACATAGAAAAATACCGGAACAGCGCTGTCATGCGCGACGAGGTGCCCGACAAGTTCCGGCCCGCGATCTTCCATGGAGGAGAGCGGGTCCCCTTCCCAGGGCCAACCAGGGAACTGCCCGAGATCGTTCGCAGGAAGGCGCGCTAGCGGGGCGCTCTACCCCGGCAAGTCGCCGCTGCGAGCGCGGGCCCCGTGGTTCTTGGCGTGGATATCTGCTGGGGCCCTTCGAGACTGGCACATCGGCATCACAGTGGGCTTGGCAAGCAGTCGCTGAAGAGTCCAGCTTCTGCGGGTGATGTGTCAGTGGGCAGTTCCGCCGTCCATGCGTGACGTGTCTCTTCTTCTTCTCCTTTGCCCCATCCGTTTGAGTTGTCTTCGCCCACTAGATGCATCCAGAGAGTCCTCCCAGCTGAGTCGTCCTGGCCCGCCAGGTGCATCCAGAGAGCGAGACCAGCGCAGCGCAGCAGTTGCGATTCGGCCAATACAGAATGCCTCCTATATTTTCTCTCTCTCTCTCTCTCTCTCTCTCTCTCTCTCTCTATATATATATATATATATATCCCTGGGGGCGAGGCCGGGGGCCCCAGGACAGGTGCCTCGACCCCCCATGGGGGGACCGGGGCTCATTTTCCATGTGTTTTTATAGGTTTTCCGCGTTTTGGGCCTCGGAGGCCGCCGCCTCCGACCCCCCATGGGAGGATGGGGCGGCCGGGGAGGTCCAAAATAGTTCAGGAGGGCCTCCAGAGGCTCCCAAGACGGCCCAAGCGGGCCCCGAGTCGCCGAAAGACCGCTCCAGGACGCCCAAGATAAGCCCAAGACGGCCCGCGAGGCCCCCCAAGGCACTCCACGACGCTACAAGAAGCCTCTCCAGAGCGCTTCAAGAGGCCGAAATCGTCGATCTTACGAAGGTTTTCGAACGATGTTGTCCTTCCAGCCTTTTCGGCTGTCCGACGTTCCAAGACGGCTCCATAGGCCCCCAAGAGCGCCCCAAGACTGCCCGAGAGGGCCCCAAGACGGCCCCAGAGTCGCCCAAGACAGCCCAACAGAGCCCCAAGACGGCCCCAAGATGCGCCCAAGAGGGGGACCACGATTCCAAAATTCGACCCTCCCGCTTGAAGAGTGCCCCAGGAGTCCCCAAGGAGCCCCCAAGAGGCCCCAGGAGCCCCAAGGAGCCCCCAAGAGGCCCCAGGAGGCCCCCAAGAGGCACCCAGGAGGCCCAAACGAGGCCTAAAGAGGCTACAAAACAGCCCCGAGGAGGCCCCACACCGGTCCCGAAACGGTTACCGAGAAGCTGCGAAACTGCCTTCACGACGTCCCCGACAGGCCAACCACGAGATCCAAACCAACACCCATGAGGCCTCTGACCCACCACCATGGGCACGGTGGCGGGAGCAGTGACAGCACTTGTGCACAGCATGTTCTGGCGGGAGCCTTCAGAACACGCTGCAGGAGGAGAAGGAGGAGGAAGATCAGGAGGAGAGAGAGCTGAAGTGGGAGGAGGAGGAGGGGGACGAGGAGGAGGAAGAGGCCTCCCAGACAGCTCCAAGATAGCTGAAGAGGCTTCCAAGAGGGCCCTGGGCGGCCCACGAGGGCCCCAAGGCGGTGCCTGAGGCGCCCAAGACGGCCCGAGAGGGCCCCAAGACGGCCCCAAGAGAGGCCCAAGAAGGGAAACACGAACCGAGAATCCGAGCTTTCTACCCCGAGAGGCTCTCGGGAAGTCCCAAGAGGCCCCCAATCGGATCCAAGAGGCCCCAAGAAGCTCCCAAGAGGGCCGACGAGGTTCCAAGAGATCTCCCAAGGTGGCCCCAAGAGGCACAACTCATTGTTTTTCGATTGGGCTTTGACGGGTTTTAATTGTTTCTGCCTTTTGGCATCCCGATGCTCCAAGACGGCCCAAGAGGCTTCCAGTACCGCTCCCATATAGAGGAAGAGGCCTCCAAGAGGGCCCCAACACGGCCCGCGAGGGCCCCAAGACGGTGCAAAGCAGAGCGGTACCCCCACAAGGCCCACAGGAGGCTGCAAGAGGCCCCCAAGTGGTCCGATGAGGACCCCAAAAGCTTCCCGAGGGCCTAAAAGGCCCCTAGGAGACGTCTAAGAGGTTTGAAAATAGCCCAAGAGTGCCCTCGATGCGTCAAAACTGCTTCCAGTAGGCCCCCGGGAGGCTTCCGGATTGCCTCAATCTGGCCGCAGGTGGCCTCAAGTCGGGCCTCCACGCAGCCAAGACAGCCAATGACGGCTTCAGATTGCAGAACCGATGCCCCCAAGGGACTCTCAGACGCCCCCCCAAGAAGCACCCAAGAGGTGCCTCCAACAGCCAGTTGACGAAGCATGCGGAACACCCCCGAAGCTCCTCAGATGCCGTCGCGCACCTGTGCTTGATAGCGTTGTCCAAGATCGTCCAGCGCCCCCCCAGGGGCCCGAAAACAGCTGCCCGCCCCTCCATGGGAGTACAGGGGCTCATTTTCGCTGTGTTTTTGCAGGGTTTCGGCGTCCCGGGCCTCGGAGGCCGCTGCGATGGTCCCAGACATGTTCCAAATCCTCGGCGCGGGCTCCAAGACCATTCCGCAGAGGGCTCCAGCAGGCTCCAGGGCAGCCCAAGAGGGCTCCAAGACGGCTCCAGGAACGACTGCAGGGTCTCATTTTCTTGTGTTTTCTGCAAGACGGCTCTGCATGTCTTATGAGGATGGCATCCGCCTCTTGCCCCGAGCCTCCCAAACTGCCTGAACGGTTCCCACTCGCCATCCCAAAACCCAGCGCTTGCCCAAGCGCGTTCTGGACGGTCGTCGCCGGAACGCGCTGGAATGATCACGCGCTGCGGTTCCCCATGCCAACGTCCTCGGACGTGGGCGCCCTGCCACGAGCGCGTTCCGGGAAGATGCTCCCGGAACGCGCTGAAAAGATATGGCCACATCACGGGGAAGCTCCCGGCACCGCTGCCCCAGCCTTTCCGGGCAGCGTCCACAGCGCTCCAGGAGGGCCCAAGATGCCCCCCAGGAGCCCCCAGAATGCGAAAGGATGGCCCATGACGCTCCCGAGCAGAGGCCAAAATCGTATATGTTCAATGGTGTTTTCAATGTTTTTGGCTTCTCGCGTTTTCGAGCTTCCAACGGTCCAAGAGCGCCGACGAGCCTCCATGAGGGTACCGGGGCTAATTTTCCATGTGTTTGTCAAGGGTTTCCTTGTCCTGGGCCTCGGAGGCCGCCGCCTCCGACCCCCCATGGGAGGATGGGGCGGCCAGGGAGGTCCAAAATAGTCCAGGAGGGCCTCCAGAGGCTCCCAAGACGGCCCAAGCGGGCCCAAGACGGCCCAAGCGGGCCCAGAGTCGCCGAAAGACCGCTCCAGGACGCCCAAGATAGGCCCAAGACGGCCCGAGAGGCCCCCCAAGGCACTCCACGACGCTACAAGACGCCTCTCCAGAGCGCTTCAAGAGGCCGAAATCGTCGATTTTACAAAGGTTTTCGAACGATGTTGTCCTTCCAGCCTTTCCGGCTGTCCGACGATCCAAGACGGCTCCATAGGCCCCCAAGAGCGCCCCAAGACGGCCCAAGAGGGCCCCAAGACGGCCCCAGAGTCGCCCAAGACAGCCCAACAGAGCCCCAAGACGGCCCCAAGATGCGCCCAAGAGGGGGACCACGACTCCAAAATTCGACCCTCCCGCTTGAAGAGTGCCCCAGGAGGCCCCAAGGAGCCCCCCAAGAGGCCCCAGGAGGCCCCCAAGAGGCACCCAGGAGGCCCAAACGAGGCCTAAAGAGGCCACAAAACAGCCCCGAGGAGGCCCCACAACGGTCCCAAAACGGCTACCGAGAAGCTGCGAAACTGCCTTCACGACGTCCCCGACAGGCCAACCACGAGATCCAAACCAACACCCATGAGGCCTCTGACCCACCACCCAGGGCACGGGCCCCAAGAGAGGCCCAAGAAGGGAAACACGAACCGAGAATCCGAGCTTTCTACCCCGAGAGGCTCTCGGGAAGTCCCAAGAGGCCCCCAATCGGATCCAAGAGGCCCCGAAGAAGCTCCCAAGAGGGCCGACGAGGTTCCAAGAGATCTCCCAAGGTGGCCCCAAGAGGCACAACTCATTGTTTTTCGATTGGGCTTTGACGGGTTTTAATTGTTTCGGCCGGTTGGCATCCCGATGCTCCAAGACGGCCCAAGAGGCTTCCAGTACCGCTCCCACATAGAGGAAGAGGCCTCCAAGAGGGCCCCAAGACGGCCCGCGAGGGCCCCAAGACGGTGCTTGAGGCGCCCAAGACGGCCCGAGAGGGCCCCAAGAGCCCCAAGAGAGGCCCAAGAAGGGGAACGCGACCCAACAGCAGAGCGGTCACCCCACAAGGCCCACAGGAGGCTGCAAGAGGCCCCCAAGTGGTCCGACGAGGACCCCAAAAGCTTCCCGAGGGCCTAAAAGGCCCCTAGGAGACGTCCAAGAAGCTTTAAAATAGCCCAGAGTGCCCTCGATGCGTCAAAACTGCTTCCAGTAGGCCCCCTGGAGGCTTCCGGATTGCCTCAATCTGGCCGCAGGCGGCCTCAAGTCGGGCCTCCACGCAGCCAAGACGGCCAATGACGGCTTCAGATTGAAGAACCGATGCCCCCAAGGGACCCTCAGACGCCCCCCCAAGAAGCACCCAAGAGGTGCCTCCAACAGTCAGTTGACGAAGCATGCGGAACACCCCAGCAGCTCCTCAGATGCCGTCGCGCGCCTGTGCTTGATAGCGTTGTCCAAGATCGTCCAGCGCCCCCCCGGCCTGGGCTAGAACCTGAGCGCGCGCGCGAAGCGCGCGCGACGGTTCTAGTGTGTATATCTATATATATATATATATATAGATATATAGATATATTACACCTGAGAAAACCCAATCAGTGGATCAGTTTGAAAATTAATAATATTGATCTTGAGATCGATGATGAGATCGGTAATGAGATCGACAGTGGAATCGATAGTGAGGACGATAATGAAATCGATCGTGAGATCGAGAGTGAAATCTATTCAATGAGATCGATAGTGAGATCGATCGCGAGATCGCACCTGCGATCTCTAGCGAGATCGCTTGTGAGATCGATAGTGAGATCGACTGTGAGATCGATAGTGAAGTGGGTAATGAGATCGATGGTGAGACCGATCGATAAGCAGGTCGACCAGAAACCCGGGAACCCGGGAACCTCGCCGCCCTCCGAAATGGGCCCCGAACCCGAAACCGGGAACCCGGGAACCCAGCATGCGACCAAAATCGGCGGGTTTTTTTCGCCAAACCTTTCAACTTCCGCGAGGACCCTTTCAGTGCAAGCACTGATTTGGGAATAATGCCTCCCATGAAGAATGCCTCCAAGACCTCCAACGCAGAACGCCTCCCAAACAGATCCGTCCAATATAAGACGCTTCCACTACAGAACGCCCCCAATGTAGACGGCAAGGGCCCTCGTCCCTCTTCACCGCCGCCCTGGTGATTCTTCGTGCGGGCCGTGCATCGAGCTGCCCCAGCACCTTCAGCCCGCTCCCTCCTCCCTCCCTCCTCCCTCCCTCCTCCCTCCCTCCTCCCTCCCTCCCTCCTCCCTCCCCCGCTCCTCCCTCCTCCCTCCTCCTCCTCCCTCCCTCCTCCCTCCCTCCTCCCTCCCGCCTCCCTCCTCCCTCCTCCCTCCTCCTCCTCCTCCCTCCTCCCTCGCTGCACCGAAACACGCTCGGGCTCCGCGAGCTTCGCCGGGCGGGCCGAGTCGGTCGGCCGAGAGGCCTTCCCGCCCTCCTTTGGCATCGCGCGGACGCGTACAGTTGTTTTTCCCAGACCCCCCCCAAGTCAGGAAAAATCACGACGGGAGGTTTTTTTCATTATTTTTGGACTCTGGGGGCCCTCACCGGCCCTCGGGACCGTCAAAAAACGGCTCGGGACGAAAGACCGGTCCTGAGGAATGGGTCCAGACCTCTGGGGGTCGATGTCATGAAAAAATCATGATGTCGGGGGTCCGGGTTCGGCGAGGGCCATTCGAGGAGCATCCTTGATCGTTTGGCGAAACAACCATGCACCTCCTCCTCCTCCTCCCCCTCCTCCTCCTCCTCCTCCTCCTCCTCCTATTCCTCCTCCTCCTCCTCCTCCTCCTCCTCCTCCTCCTCCTCCTCCTCCTCCTCCTCCTCCTCCTCCCCCTCTTTGGACGCCCGAAATGGGTACGGAAAGAATGGGCACAATGCCCAACAGCAGTTCCTGTTCATTTTGAACAGGGCTTGCTGTCGGCGCCGCCGCGGCCCGTGTCCATTTGAGACAGAAGGCCGCCTGCCCAACAGCGGCCGCTGTTGGTCCGGGACAGCATTTGTGGTCGGGCGTTGTGCCCATTCTTTCCGTGCCCATTTCGGGCGCCCCAATGCACGAAACCGAAAACACAACTCCCACCCTCCCTTGGCATCGCTCGGACGTGTGCATTTTTCCTTCGGCGAGGACCATCGAGGAGCATCCTGGAGCATCTGGCCAAGAGGCCACGCACGAAGCCGAAAAGAAAAAAGCCCAGGGCATGGACGCCCGAGCGGTGGCCGGCGCCTGTCTGCCAGCGAGCGCCCTCCTGGCCGGACATGGGCAGCGGGCGGCGGAGGGCCCCCCTCCCGCCGTGCCGCCCTGTCCGCTTGCTTTATAAGTCGGGCGTGTCCCCCGACCGGGGGGATTTTCGACGAAGAAAGAAGAAACACCCCCCAAATACCCCACAAAGGTCAGAACATATTCAAAAAATAGTCCCCAGACGAACAATAAAAAAACACCCCCCAAACACCCCCAAAAGGCCAAAAAGTATGCAAAAGATAGTCCCCAGACCATGTTTGAAGCATTTTTTTATGATTTTTGGCTTATGTTTTACTGTTTCGTCGAAAATCCCCCTGTATAGAGGGACAGGCCCGACTTGACGCTTGCTCTGCCCCGCTGGCCTCCCGCGGAAGGCGCCAGGACGAGGAACAAATCCTTCCCCCAATCAGTGCCTTGCACTGCCCAGAGTCAGGAGGGGAGAAAAAACACACAGACACAATTAATCGTCGACTCCCCAGAAAATATGGGAAAATATGGGAAGTGGTGGGGAAGACAAGAACCCAGAAAATATGAGAAAATATTAGGAATATTTTAATTTTTGTGTATATATTTGTGTGACCCAGGGCCCCTTCAAAATCATTCCCCCAATCAGTGCCTTGCACTGCCCAGAGGTCCGACGCATGGAGAAAATCAAGGCGGACGTTTTCCGCAAGTTTCGGCCTCCAGGTGCCCGCACTGGGGCCTGGGGCCGTGAAGAAACCACTCCGGATGAAAACCCGGTCCTGGGGAATGGGTCGACCCTTCCGGCGACCCCGTATTAAAAAAGTCACGACATCGGATCGCTGGGTGAAGGGGTCCTATAGCAGAAGTTCAAAGATTTGGCGAAAGTTTCCCGCCGATTTTGGTGGCAGGCTGGGTTCCCGGGTTCCCGGTTCCGGGTTCCCGGGTTCCCAGTGATTGGTTCTGGGCCGATTTCGGTGGGTTTTGGGTTCCCGGGCTCCCGGGTTCCCGGTCGATGTCCTCAGCGGATATCCACTGATTGCGTTTCTTCTCTGGTGTAGTCATACTACACCGGACCAGAAGCCCCAATCCATGGACGATTTGAAGAACGGATCAACAAAAAAGGGATCGAGGAGCAGATCGACCGGGGACCCGGGAGCCCGAGCACCCAGAACCCACCGAAATCGGGCCCGGAACCACTTAACCAGGAACCCGGGAGCCCGGAGTTGAACCCGGGAGCCCAGCGTGCGACGAAAGTCGGCGGGAAATGTTCGCCAAATCTTCCAATGTCCGCCAGGACCCTTTCAGTGCAAGCATTGAGTGAGGACAATCCGTTCCCGAGCGTTCCGGGACGATTTCAGAGCGTTTGTCGGCCTCCTCTCTCTTCCTCCTCCTCCCCCTCCTCCTCCTCCTGCTCCTCCTCCTCCTCCTCCTCTTCCTCCTCCTCTTCCTCCTCCTCTTCCTCCTTCTGCTCCTCCTCCTTCTTCTCCTCCTCCTCCTCCTCCTCCTCCTCCTCCTCCTCCTCCTCGGCCCCCGAGATTCTCGGTTCGTCTTGCCCGAGTGCAGCTTCGTCCTGGCTTCGTCTACTTCTCGGCTGCACGCTCGTCGCATATACTGCGTGCTGCTCGTGTCCGCCGCACGCCGATGCAGGCACGAGCACTGGCTGCTCCCAAGGACTGCAGGCAACCAGCACGTAGATGGTGGGAGGGGAAAGGAGGGAGTGAGGAGGATGAGGGAGGGTATGATTCAGGCGGGAAGTTTCACCCAACTAGCGAAAGTATATAGGTTGTGGATGGACGCCCAGATCGAGGCGGGTCTTCTTGCTGACGATTCATTGGATTCTGCGGCACAGGAGACCCCTGCCGCCACGCCTTCAGATTTTCGTCACGTGAGGCCGTTTTGATTTGTACACGCGTCTTCCTACGTCCGTGTGATGTCTTTGCCGAGCGCGCTGTTTCGTCTTCCTTGGTCCGCCTTCTTCCCGTCCTCTTCTCCTCTTCGGGCACCCCCGCGCTCTGCGTAATTATCCCCCGTTCTCGCCGCTGGGCACCCTTTGGAAGTTGAAGAGTGATGTCTCGTGTGCGCAAAGATTCCGCAATCCCCAAACACAGTGCTTGCATTTAGGGTATCTCACTTCTCTCCGGAGGAACTGGGCCTGTCTGTCGGTCTGGCGGCTATGCTGTCGCCGTCGCCGCCCCTTCGCCGCCCCGTCGCCGCTCGTAACTGGGCCTTTCCGTCGGTCTGGCGGCTTTGTTGTCGCCGTAGCTGGCCCGTCGCCGCCGTCGCCGATCGTCGCCGCCGTTAGATTGCATCACGTAGATTTGTTTGCGTTACTTCGCATTGCCTTGCATTGCTTTGCCTTGAGTTGCTTTGCGTCGCTTTGCATTGCTGTGCCTTGCTTTGCATTGCGTGGCCTTGCGTTGCCGTGCTTTGCATTGCTTAGGTTGGCTTTGCGTCGCATTGCCTTGCGTTGCATTGCCATGCTTCGCGGCGCTTTGCACGCATTGCTTCGCATTTGCTTGCGTTGTTTTGCGTTGCTTCGCGCGGCTGTGCATCTATTGCACCGCGTCGATTGCTCCAGAGATGTTGCACCACGCAGATACAACCAACTAGAGAGCACAGCAAAGTTAGCACACCATAGATTGCACACATCTTGCACCCAAACATCGCACCACATACAGTGCTCCACGTAGATAGCACAGCAGGTATTGCTCCTCATAGATTACATACTTTATCGCACCACGTAGATTGCATAAGAGAGGTGTCGCTACATGCGCTATATTTCATACCATACATCGATTCTACAAATCAGATTGCAGCACAAGTATTGCACCGCCTAGGTTGCTCCACATTTGTCGTACAACATACATTGCCTCGCATGGACTGCACGACCTTGTGAGTGCACCACGCAGATTCTCCTTTTGAGAGAAGAATAAAGAATAGACTCTACCCCCCCCGGAGGTAACGGGTTACCTTTTCGTATTGCAACGTACATGTGATTCTGCCCCATCGTCCATCTGAGCTGTGAGCTCATAGTATCCCAGCCAAACCGGTAGCGCCCCCCCGCCATCTTCTGCAACAAAAACTGCGCGCACATTTGTTTAGCCAAAATCATAAGTTTTCAGCAATCCCTTGCGACAAAATTGGACGAAGTGCACACGCGTGCGTCGTCGCGCGCGCATGCCGAAATCCTTGAAAAAAAAACCCTCGGTGTCGGAAGTACTTCACAATCGAGTTTCCCAAGCACACACAAAACACAAGGTTTCGCAACACGGATGTTCTAAAAAAGCTTACGCGCGCGCTCTTGCGAAGTATTACGAAAATTTGTGGGTTTTTCAGTATTTTAAAGAAGTACTACCAAACGGGCTTCGCGCGCGCATGTCGAAATCAACCGAACGCCCTTACGCGAGTGCCGTCGCGAGAATCGTCTGCAAACAAATTGACGAAGTGCACACGCGCGCGTCGTCGCGCGCGCATGCCGGAATCCCTCAAGAACCTTCGGTTTCGGAAAGATTTCAAAATCGAGTTTCCCCCACAACAAAAAAACATAAAATAACAAGGTTTCGAAACACGGATTTTCAACAAAAGCGTGCGCACGCGCGCTCTTGCGGCGTCGTCGTCGTCGTTGTCGTCGCCGTCTTCCCTCCTCCCTCGTCGTCGTCGTCGTCGTCGTCGTCGCCGTCGTCGTCTTCTGTCTTTCCTCGTCGTCGTCGTCGTCGTCTTGGCGTCGTCGTCGTTTCCATCGTCGTTGTCGCCGTGGTCGTCTTTCCTCCCTCGTCGTCTTCGTCGGCGTTTCGTCGTTGTCCCTCCTATTTCGTCGCCGTCGTCGTCGTCGTCGTCGTCCTCCCTCCTCCCTCGTCGTCGTCGTCGTCGCCGTCGTCGTCCTCCCTCCTCCCTCGTTGTCGTCGTCTTCGTTGGCGACGTCGTTGTCGTCGTCATCGTCGTCGCCGTCGTCGTCGCCGCCGTCGTCGTCGTCGTCGTCGGCGGCGTCGTCGTCGTCGGCGTCGTCATCGTCAGCGTCACCGTCGTCGTCGTCGTCGTCGTCGTCGTCGTCGTTGTCGCCGTCGTCGAAGTCGTTGGAGATTCGCCCGCAACGTCTACCGTTGTCGACGTAACTGGGCCTTGGTGTTGGTCCGGCGGCTATATGTCGTCGCCGTCGCCGCCCCGTCTCCGCCTCGTCGCCGCCCGTCGTCTGTGCCCCGTCGTTCGGGCCTGTGTGGGGGGCTCGGGCCGCCGTGTCGCCGCCGTCGCCGTGCCGTCGTCGACTCGTCGCCGCCGCGTCGCCACCGCCTGCGCGCCGCTCTGGCTGCTGCGTCGCCGCCCTCGCCACGTATTTCCCAGTTGACATCCGATGCATTGTCAAAGCGAACTTCTACAATTCCATGGGGGTCCTTCTATCGCCACCCCTCATCCATGTGAATTAATCATATAAGCGCATTTGTTCAAACAGAATCGTCGTTTTTTCAAGAACCCTTGTAACACGAGAGACACAGTCTACGCGGCTTGGCGCGCATGCCGCCATTTTCCACGCACCTTTGGCTTCCTCCGGATTTTTATGTCGCGATTCCTCAACACATATTGAAGCAATGGCTTTGCAAACTGGCCAACCTTGTATCGAAGTCGCGCACGCCCTCGCGCATTCCCACGACAACCACGATGCTTGCAACATATTCATTCAATGCGACCCAACAGGCCTCTCGCGCGCGCGTGGCAAATACCGCCATGCTGGCTATTCACGCTGGCGTACCAGCATCGCTACTATCCTTCTCGTGTCTGCCGTTGTCGACGTCGCCACGACGCCGTGCCCGCCTGAGTCACCGACTCGAACTGAAGTGCCCGCGCGCCAGCGCGGCCTGCGAGACGCGTTGGGGGGCCCTCTATCGGTCAGCGCCGCCGCGGACGCGCCGGTCGCGCCAGTCAAGCTGGCCGCTCTGCGCGCGAGCTTGCGCGCGCCAGCGCGGCCGCAGCGGTGCGCCAGCCAGTGCCATGCAGTCATCGCAGTCGCCGCCTCATGGGCAAACGAAGATGCGGGCGGGTGGATGGGATGATTGCACCAGCAAGTCGTTTCACATCTCACGACGAAAACTGGTTTAATTTCACCGCGTAGATTCTCCTGTCTAGAAATTGGAGGATGCAACGCCCCCCAGAGAGCGGGATGGCCAGCCGCTGGGGATGTGCAAGTTCCACATGATCCAGGCCCCATTGTTTATTCTAAATAATCTAAATCTAATTTCAATTCGCTTGAGCCAAGCCGATATCGACCCCCCCTGCAGCCCAAAAAAACAACCGCGCGCACTCGCTCACCGCAAACCATCAGGTTTCAAGAGCCCGTTGTAAACAACGGGGCGAAATGCGCGCGGGCGCGTCTTCGCGCGCGCGTGCCAACATTCGGTTCAAAATCAATGTCTCGCAAGGATTTCGAAATCGGGTGCCCCGAACACATATTGCAACGCGTGTGCGCTGCAGGAATGTTCAACAAAAAACATGCGCGCGCGCTCTTGCGCATTCGCATGGAGACCATAGGTATTCCACCATTTTCATCACATCCAACCAGACGGGCTTCTCGCACGCGCGCGTCGGAATCTGTCGAACGCGCTTGCGCGGGCGCTGGAAGGCACAATCTCTATCAAATGATATCATGAGGGCCACTCGCGCCCCCCAATTGCGAGCGCGCGCAAATTCCCTCTGACAAGTTCACCCCCGCCCCCGGACACCATCCTCGTCGCCGACGCAGTCAGCATCGGCGCCCTGCAATCGGCCTTGCCGTCGTCATTGTCATCGCCGTCGCCGGCGCCGTCGCCAGCGTCGCTGTCATCGCCATCGCGTCCGCCGCTGTGGACGTCGCCGCGACGCCGCACGCGCCCGAGCTGCCGACTCGCACTGAAGCGCCCGCGCGTCGGCGCGGTCTGCGAGACGCGCTGGGAAGCAGCGGCGGCCCGCGCCGCCGCGGCCGCGTCGGTCGCGCCGGCGCCAGACAAGCTGGCCGCTCTGCGCGCGAGCCCGCGCTCGCTTGCGCGGCCGCGGCGATGCCCCGGCCAACGCCGCCGCCATCGCAATCGCCGCCGCGCGGGTTTAGCAATCCAAGTTTCGGGCGGGGCGGCGGGGCGATTTCGCGGGCGGCGGAGTTGGCGAGCGCGAGTTCGGCGGGGCGAATTTGCCCGCCGGAAAAAGGATTCGGGCCCATCCCCCTCCCGGATAATCGACTCGCCCTCGCGACGTGCAGCTCGACGCTGTTTTCGCCCCATCGGTCAGTCAACGTGAGTTCGCGTGAGCCCGGCAAAACCGACGTCGACCCTGCGGCCCCCGACCTCGCCCCGCGCGCGCGCCTCTTCGACGATCTTGTCCGGAATCTTAAGAAAAATGGTTTGAGGCGCGCGCGTCGTCGCGCGCGCGCCCCGAGATCCCCCGGGCACTCCTGGGAACGCTGGCTTATTTTCGCCCAGCGCGGTCGAGCGCGCCCCTCGCGCGCCCCTGTCGACGTCGTTCCGACGCCCTTGCGCGCGCGACGTCACCAGAGTGTTTTGCAGCGGGCGGGGCGAAGGGCGCGCGCGCCGCGCCGCGCGCCCGCGCGCCGGAATCTTCTGCGCGGAGAAGCTTGCGAACGCATTCGCGCGAAGTCTTGGGGGAACCAAAGGTGTTTCAAACTTTTCATCGCATGCTGCCCGGCGCGCCTCTCGCGCGCGGCGAGGTCACGCCGGCGCCCAC